GGGCGGGCGCGCGCGTGTGTGTGTGTGTGTGTGTGTGTGTGTGTGTGTGTGTGTGTGTGTGTGTGTGTGTGTGTGTGTGTTCGTATGTGTGTGTGTGTGTGTGAAATTATAAAAAAAAATATGTTATGACACGGATTCGAGTCAACGTGTACCTAAAAATGCAATTAGAGAGAGATGAGAATGAGAGAGAAATTTAGTTACATAAAGTGTAAGTGTCTTTCTTTTATGTGAAGTTTTACAATAAAGTTCAGCTGTGAGTGTCAATAAACACCTTGAAGCCTCTTTTTGGATGAAGTGAGCTCAATTTGAAAAGTGAGTTGATTACACTCGTATCCCAAGTTTGTGCTTTCAAGACAAAAGCAAAAAATCTGGTCAACTCAAGGCAGCACTTTGTGAAAAACAATCAAACGGCCAAACAACACCAACAAACTTCTGCATCAATTCAGAAATGTCTATTTTGTATGAAGAATAATCTCATTTATTGTGGCACCACTGCTCTGGTTGCCAATCCGCCAAGCTTGGCGAGGCTGGGCTAGGCTAGTGGTCGGTCGCAGTAGTTCTCCAGGTCAAAGATGTTGCACGGCTTGTGGCAGCACTGCTCCATGATGCCTCGCTTCATCAGCACCTCCATGTGGTCCTGGAAGCCCAGCTCCGGCGCCGCCGCCCTGTCGCCGCCCGTCGCCACGCCAACCTTTGGTGGGAGGAAACCTGGCCGCACGCACAAAGAAGCGCCGTCATGATGACATCACATAGGCCACAATGTCATCGTGTCACAAATAGCATGAACGTATAAATACCATGTGTGTGCATATACGTTGGTGTTGCGCGTGTATGGGTGTCTGACATCATCAACATCCCTGTTGCCGTGATGACACCAAGGCCACGGGGCGGGGTCTCACCCAGCAGGTGGTGCGCCTCCCTCTTGGGGTTGAAGATGAAGCCGCGGTCTCCGCACACCAGAATGAGGGCGTCCAGCAGATCAGAGCCGCACAGGTGCTGCGGGTCGGCGGCAGCGGGCTGGGACCCCGTCGCCAGGACCAGCACGGTCAACACCTGAAGCCACGACGACGCCATCACGGGGGAGCTGAAAGCAAAAGACGTCAGGATGACGCGGCTGGCAATCAAGAGTGCGAGGAGGCGGGGCTTACCTACAGGGTCCAATGAGTATGAATATGACGATGAAGAGTGAAGAGGAGCTGCGAGCTGTGAGGACGAACATGCCACCTACCGGACTTTTATAGCGCCCGGCCAAGCCCGCTGCCAGTGCGTGTGTATGCGCTTTTAGTAGAACAAACACAACAAATGAGGCGGCTTGATGTGGTGAACTGCCGCAAATATTGACTCGCTTCCTCTGATCACCTTCATGTCTTCTTCTACTACCGATATTTGGCACAAATCCTGGTCCTCCCACACACACACACACACACACACACACACACACACACACACACACACGGTACATTAGGGAATAAGGAATTTTTCCAGTGGTGCTAATCTCTGGTTTATTGTATTGCTTATACATATTTGGAAGATCTTTGCTATTTGCTTAAATAAAGTAAAGAAGCTCACAGAAGATGTGATGATCTCACTGGAAAGTCAGGTCAAGAAAGAGAGAGAGGGAAAAAAAAAAACCACGATCGTGCGTGTCAACAACATGCTGACCCAGCTCACACTGAAAAGCAAAGTCAACAGTCGCCATGACGACATCGCCACGATGGGCTCTCCATGACGACGCGGTTGCCACCGGTTAGAATTTCTCAGGCAACATTTTACGTCCAGAGCGGTTTCCTTCAACACGGTCTTTCTTCCGAGGGAAACTGTGACCGAAGGCAAACAACTTCATCGAGAGCTCAATCAATCCATCGATGGATGGATGGTGGAAACGTATCAGGACAGACGTGCTGTTGAGCGGGTGGAGAGTTGCAGCACACAAGTGACCACACGAGGGGGCCAAACGACAACAGACGTTCTCAAAAAGCGAAGGAAGCGTGAACCTGTGACAGGCGCAACCGGAACACGCAAGTCACCGAACCGGAAATCCGTTAAAACACACCAGAACCTGACCACAACCTAGTTCATGACTGCACCCTACTTGGCCCAAACAAGACCAGAACCTGACCAGAACGTGATTGGAACCTAACCGAAACCACAACCTGACTAGACACAGAACCTGGATAGAACCCGACTAAATCCTGGTTCATGACTGCAACCCGACGAGAACCCGACCAGTATCAGATCAAAACTACTGTAAACCGGACCAAATTTGACCAGGACCTCACGAGACCCAGACCTTGAATAGAATCAGATTTGAACCCGACCAAAACCTGAGCATTAACGTGACTATAACCAAACCAATACCAGACCAGATCCTGACCAGGATGTGGCTCGAACCTGAAAAGACCCTCATGAGAATGAGAGCAGAATTTATGAATAATCCAACCGGAAGCTGCCTACAGCTAAAAATCGCATGTTAATAAATGATTGCCTCACGTGTGCGCAAAATTCATGAACTGGAGTTGTGATGTAAAGAAAGATGTTCTTTTTTTTATGACATCATCTCTCTCCGCTGCTGTGATTGGTTTCATCTCTTCACGCGATTGCCGTGTTGGTGCCTGCTCCCCTGCTTTCGCCTCAGCGTCATTTTATCTTTGACCACACGAGGGCAGCATCGCATCACGTCAAGTAATGTCATTTTTTTCCGAAGTCTTTATCGTAAACTAAACTCGGAGCTAAACTATGCTAGGTTAGGAGGCTAGCATCAGTGGAAGGGTCAAAGCCAGAGAACTGAGTGTCAAAGTGTGTCAAGGAGGTCGTAAAAGACGAAAAGAAAGAAAGAGAGAAGGAAAGAAAAGCGAGATCGTAAAAGACGGTGGCCATGTTGTCCTGGTTAATGTCAAGAAGCGACAGGTGACACAAGATGGACGCTCAGCACGATGCACACACCAGACTACACGCATACATGTGCTTGTTATTTTTTTCAGGAATATATTCATGCTTTCACCAGCACAAAACATTTTTAAATTACTCATTCAAATAATGATAGCACTAAAAGCTCATTTTTATTATTACTAATTTACACACACACACACACGCACACACACACACACACACACACACACACACACACACACACACACACACACACACACACACACACACACACACATATTTATACATATTGATGAAATTTTGATTTTGATAACTGAAATTACATTTATCTTTGCATTTGTTGTAAACAACAAAAGTGCAATTATCTCATCAGAATTCTGGAACCATACCCATCTATAATAATAATAATATATTTTTTTAAAGTCCAAATGCCTATTTTTTTCTTTTTTTTGTAATTATTGAATTAAAGTTATTTTTTTTCTACAATTACTGTATGTTTGAAAATGTTTATATTTGTTTTCCCTGATGAACTCAACTTTCTAAAATGTCTTAACCTCAGAGAACCTTATTCATAATTTACTTGTATAAGCATTCACAGAAAAGTATGTGAATTGGATATTTTTTTTAAATGAAATTATTAAAATTCACAAATATAGATACATGCACACACACACACACACACACGCACACACACACACACATATCACACACACACACGCACACACACATATATATATATATATATGTGTGTGTGCGTGTGTGTGTGTGATGTGTGTGTGTGTGTGTGTGTGTGTAAAACTTAATCAATAATGCATTTTTTTGTTGATGTGTTTGTTTGCTTTCGAATGAAAAAAGAAATAACCGGTTCTTAATGTGATTACTTTCCTTTGAAGTACAACAAATGAATTGCACCACAAACACATGAGATTAATGAGGTGTTTTAAACACACACACACACACACACACACACACACACACACACACACACACACACACACACACACACACACACACACACACACACACACACGCACACACACTTTACATACACACGCGCGAAGGTGAAAAGTGTGTATACCTAATGAAGTGTCCTTTAGGGCCTCAGACAAAGAAAAGTCATGAGTGTAAAACAATAAAAAGGTAAACTCGTAAATCCATAAATCGTCGACAAGCGCTCTCCTCCGCTGCAAAATTTCACACGCTCCAAAAGGACAACCGCGATCTGTTGAGAAACATGCCGATTGTTTTTTTTTTTCTTCCGTTGAGTGAAATTCTCACATCAAGACATCAAGTGTGACCTCGAAAATGTGAGCTGCCACCAATTGTTAGCTTGCTCAGTCAGAATTTTGTCAGTTTAGCGCTCGCTTCTTCTCAATTAACTTGAGGAGGCAAATTCAATTTTACAGATTAACTGAAAAAAAAGTAAAAGGGAAAAAAAACACAAGAAGCTTTTAATTTCCAAAAGAGTTAAAGCGTGTTGGAGGGTGGAAGTTGATGAATAGTTTCCAAAAATGAGAGGATGAATGAGAATTCTAGGCGACATTATTGATCTCAAATGAAAAATAAATCGTCTTGTTTGAATTTGCACGACGGAAATGAATGATACAACGATAAATTACCCAGCCTCTAATTCATAAAATCGCTTCTACAAAAGTGTTCACGTCAAATGTCATGAAATGATAAAATCATGCATGAAACTTTTGAAAAGAACTTTGCGTGGCAAAAACATTCCACAAATTCAACTACGTTGCAGCAGGTGATTCCAGACGTGCACCGAGTAGCCGACTGATGAAGTTCTCTTTGGTAGCGCCTGCCTGCATGTTGCAAAAAAAGCAGGACGGGCGTCAAAATAAAATTCTTTGAGTGAAATCAGATCAATTGTTTTCAGGGGCTTGTGTCGATGCTGAAGGTGTGTGTGTGTGTGTGTGTGGTGGGGGGGGTTGCTGGCCGGGGGAGCAGGTGAGAGCAATAAAGTAGCCCCCTCCAGCTAACATGTACGTGAGCTACCTGCAGCTGGACAAGGACCCCCCCATGTACCACCAGAACCCCGTCAGCAGACACCCGGGCCTCGGCCTCAACCCGCCGAACTTCCCGGTGCCCGGACCGGCCCAGTACTCGGACTTTGCGAGCTACCACCACCACCACCACCACCACCACCCGCCCCACGGCCTCGCGGCGGACCCGCACCAGGCCCAGCAGAGCGCGGGCGGCGGGGGCGGCGGCGGCTGGAGCCCGGTTTACC